GCCTCCTGGGCCGTCTTGGGGGCCTCTGGAGGCCATCTGGGTCCTTCTTGGAGCGCTCTTGTGCTGTCTTGGGTCTCTCATCGGCCTCACTGGTCACCGCTCTGGTCGCTTGGGGCCTGCTGGCAGGACCAGGCTAAGTGCCCTGGGAGGTTTGGGATGAGCCGGGAGACCTCTGGCAAGGATGTCCGGGGGGCCCGGAAACCCCAGATCCTGTGCGTCTGGTTTTTGCGGGGGGGGTCCCATCCCCCCAGCTTGTAAAAATAAAAGAAGCGGAATACATATGTTTTCTAAAATACAGTAGGTTCGTGCGGCGTCCGCGCGCGACAAGATTTATGACACCATGCGGATCGTTCACTCTTGAATCGATCGCGGTCCCGATCGTTCAAGGTTGAATTCCGTCGGGTCCAGTGGCGTCACCGTGACCCTGGATGCTTTCGCATCGCAGAATTTAACCTTGAACGCCTTCGCCAGAGTCGCCAGCGCGCCAACGCCGCATGAACCTACCGCATCCAGAAAGAGAGAAGCGCTCGGGGCCATAAATCTCCGAAGCACTGCGGCACCGATGCGGCATCCTGACCGAAGGCCTGGGTCAGCACAAAGCCGGATCGACCAAGGCCCCCTCGCGAAGCTGGGCCAACCGCTTCTAGCAGCTCCAGAACCAGGGCCAGCGGAGGGCGGAAAGGGGAAATCGGCCCCACTAGAAGCCTACTGGATGGGGTCCGAGTAGATGGGGTTGGAGGATCGCGCTGCATCGCAGATGCATCGCGGATGCATCGCTGATGCATCGGCGATGCATCGGTGACGTGGACGATGCATCGGCGCCGTCGGCATGGAGACAGTCGGGCTCCGCATCAAACCGAACCGCCGATGCATCGGCGATGCGGCGGGATCTTTCGACCCCACCTACTCGGACCCCATCTAGGAGGCCCAGACCCACTGGCTACCAAGCAAGGTCCACGGAGAGCTGCAAGGGGAGAGCGGCCAGGCGTGACTCCCAAACCCCGGTCGGCCACAGGGGATTGGCGGACCCCCGCAGCGCCGACCCCGCCGCGCGAGCCCCGAAGGCGGGCGCGCGCGCGAGGCGCCGGAGCCAGCCTGGGCGCCGAAGCCTACGGCCGAGATCGCGTCCACGACGGCCTCCAGGGTGACCTTGCGCGGCCACGAAGGCCCTCCCAGCCCCGAAAACGGCCAAAGCGTTCGCGGGCCTCCCCTCGAGCCCCCAAACTCCTGGGCTCCTCCCCTTCCCCCAGATCCTAGCGTTGCAATGTTCCACCACGGGCGTGTTCACCCGATTTCGGGGCCCTGGGGACCCTCGCAGATCGATCTGGCTCGAGAAAAGCTGCAGAAAGACTGGATCCAGGGTTCCAGTCGTGAGTTCTTGCGATGCCGCATTTTTTGGCAACGTCGGAGCCCAGGAGGTCCCCGATCCTGGACTCCCCTGCGCCGCCTCCCTCTTCTCCTTCTCCTCCTCCTCCTCCTCCTTCTCCTCCTTCTCCTCCTTCTCCTCCTTCTCCTCCTCCTCCTCCTGCGCTTCCACCTCCTCCTCCTCCTTCTCCTCCATCTTATCCTCCTCCTCCCCGTTTTCCTCCTTGTCCTCCTCCTCCTTCTCCTCCTCGTGCTTTCTCCTCCTCCTCCTCCTCCGCTGGCAGCTGCAGCTGGCGGCTGGAGCTGGGGCTGGAGCTGGAGCTGGGGCCGAGGCTGGAGCTGGAGCTGGGCTCGGGGCCCAGAGCTGGGGTTGGGGCTCGCCTCCTCCTCCTCCTCCTCCTCCTCCCCCCTCCTCCTCCTCCTCCTCCTCCTCCCTCCTTCCCTCCCTCCCTCCCTCCCTCCCTCCCTCCCCCCCCCCTCCCCCCCTCCCCCCCCCCCCCTCCCCCCCTCCCCCCCTCCCCCCCCTCCCCCCTCCCCCCTCCCCCCGAGCCGAGGCCCCGTCGCCATGAGTTTGGCACGGCGTGGGCCCCCATCGCCGCGGATGCCATGACGATGGACACCCTGACACTCCTGCCATCGACATAAGCATGTGTTAGCAATGTTGGAAAAGGTGGGAACGATGCTGAAAACATGCTTTTTACAGGTTTGAGACATGTTTCAAACATTGCAGACATCTGGAAATGATTTGGCTACATGCTTCCTCTCCAATGATCGTCGTCCACAACCCCATCGGTCTGGACCCACTCCCGGGGACCAGCTCGTCATCCCGAGTCGTTCAGTTGACGGTCCTCTCGGGGCTTGGTGAGAGGGCCCCCAGTCGTAATCCGCCGTGGCCTCGAAGGAGCCTCTGAAGCCAGCATAGACTAAAGACACAGACGACACCTACGCTGAATGGCCGTTGCCAGAGAGCAGCCAGGAAGAAAAAGAGGAGGAGCAGGAAGAGAAAACTACAAAACGTCTTCCGCCGTGTATGGTCTTTCTCTTGGCAACGCGAGCATGTCTGGGGCCGGAGCTGGGGCTGGAGCTGAAGCTGGAGCTGGGGCTGGAGCTGAAGCTGGAGCTGGGGCTGGAGCTGGGGGCTGGAGCTGGAGCGCAGCCCCGTGGCGGAAAACAGCCTTCCGTCGTGTTTTTTTGTTTCTGGCGACGCGAGCATGTCTGGGGCCAGAGCTGGGGCTGGGGCTGGGGCTGGAGCCGGAGCGCAGCCCCCCGCGGCGGGCCGTGGCCCAGGAGGCGGGCGAGCGGCCCAGGGGCGCCCCTGAGACCCTGGCGCCTTCGCAGTGTCTCGCGGGGTAGCTTGAGGTCGATCGTGTGCCCCTACGGGCAAATTGTAAAAACAAAAAAAAAAATGATAATAATAATAATAATAATAATGATTATTATTATTATTATTATTATTATAAAAAAGAGGGGCATGCCCGACGTGAGGGTAGCTCACCGACGTCCCAGACAGCCGACCGTATCTGGCGAGACGCAGCGCCAGGGGGCGAAACCGACGGGAGAGACGGCACAGAAGCCATCGAATACGAATGTGTCGAGCGAGCCCGCACACGGGGCTTCCTCCGTCGACTCGTCGTGGGTGGGAGCTCTCTCCGTGCCCGACCACTGCGGAGCGCCGCCGGCGGCCCCGAGACGACGGGGACCCCTGCGGAGCGGGGCCCTGGGCGAGCATGGCGTTCCTCGGCTCTGCTTCCCCCTCCCCCCTCGGGGGCGCCAAGAGCAGCGCGTCGGCTGAGACATCCCCACGGTCTCCGCCGAGAGGAACCGAAAGCCCAGGCCGCCAGCTAGGCAAACCGCCTGCGGCATCCCCGCAGTCTGGCAGCGAATGGGGCCGCGAGGCCATTCCTGGCGGGTCCCACTTGGAGTGCTGAAGCCAGCACATCGGCTGAGACATCCTTACAGTCTGCCCTGAAAGCACCGAGTCCAAGCAAACAGACAAGCAAACCGCCTGAGAAATTCCCGCGGCCTAGCCGCGAACGAGGCCGTGAAACCACCCCTGGCGCCCCCCCCCAAAGTGGGGTCCTGAAGCCAACGCGTCGGCTGAGACATCCTCACTTCCGGTTCGAAAGCACCGACGTCCAAGCCCTGAGACATCCTCGTGATCTGACAGAGTGAGAGCGAGTATGTCGCAAGTCCAAGTGAGTGCGAGTGAGGCTGGTGAGCGAGTCTGAGTATGAGAGTGATTCTGCGTGTGAGTCTGTGTGCGAGTGAATCTGAGTTATGAGTGAGTCTGCACGCGAGTGACTCTGAGTGTGAGTAAGTCTGAGCATGAGTGAGCCTGAGTGCGATAGGGTCTGAGTATGAGTGAGTCTGAGTATGAGTGAAGCTGATGGTGCTTAAGTCTGACCATGGGTTAGTCTGAGTGCACGCGAGTCTGAGTATGGGTGAGGCTGAATATGAGTGAATACGAGTGTGATTAAGTCTGACCGTGAGCGAGTCTGAGTGCACGCGAATCTGAGTATGACCGAGTCTGAGTGAGGAAGAGGATGCAAGGGAGTCCGAGTACTAGGGAGTCGGAGCTAGAGTGGGTATGAGCATGACCGCGCCTGAGTGCGAGCGAGCCTGAGCAGGAGCGAGCCTGAGCGAGGAAGCAGAGGGGGGGGGGCGAGGGAGGCGTGAGGCGTGAGTCGGAAGGGGGGGCCTGAGCAACAGCACGAAACCGATGTTCGGACATGGAGAATCATCCTCACTGTCGGAGGCCCCGGGGCAGTGCGCGACAGAGACGCGGGCCCGCGCCCGCGCGCGCTGCTCCGATGCGCGCGCTGTGGGGCAGCGGCCGCGCCAGGGGGGACCCCCTCGCCTGGCCCGGGCACGTGGCCGCTCACCCGGGCCTGCCCAGAGCCTGCAGCAACCGCGCCTGCCCAGACCCCCGACGTCACGAACTTGTTCGTAACCTCTTCTTCTTTCGCAGCCCTGGAGCGCGCAGCGCTGGGCCATCTTTCACAGAATCAACAAGGTGCCGGTTCCTGCCGACGCAGCGCTTGTTCAGACCGCAGGGCGGGCCGACAAGAGAAGCGGGCCGGGGACGGAACAGGGGCGGGAGGAGCCGAGGAGCGAGACAGGGGGAGGAGGAGAGGGAGGGACGACGACAGGAAAGGACAGACCAGAAGTCTCGACCCCTTCCCCGGGACCCGCTTTGCCTCCCGAAGCGCTGCCTCTCGGACCCTGGAGGCCCCGAGTGGGGCCCTCCATGGGGCCGAAAAGCACAGAAGCCCTGCCGCCGTGACTCCTTGTCGTGCCTCGAGGGGGGGTCTTGGCCCTCGAGGCCCCCCCAGGAGAAGACCTTCTCGGGGTCGAAGGACACCTGCGCGGCCTTCGTCAGCACCGACCTCAGTGGCCGCCCGCCGCCGGGCAGGCCGCCCGGCGCTCGCCGCCGCCGTCCGCGGGCACCGCCGCCGCCTCGACGCCGCCGCCGCAAACGACGAAGCCGATGACGACGACGGCGGCGACAACGACGGCGGCGGCGGCGACGACGACGGCGACGACGACGACGACGACGACAACGACGACGGCGACGACGACGACGACGACGGCGACGACGGCGACGACGACGACGGCGGCGGCGACGGCGGCGGCGGCGGCGGCTCTGTGCCGCGGGCGCCGCCCACGACGACGACAAAGGACGCGGACGACGACGACGACGACGACGACGACGACGACGACGACGACGACGACGACGACGACGACGGCGGCGGCGGCGGCGGCGACGACAGATTTGTCGGGCCTCCGTGGGGAGTGCGGGGGCGCGCTGTTTGATCCGCACGCTTGGGCCATAGATTGTTGCCGTGCTCCCCAAAAGGTGACATGTTCTCTGAAGCGGGTGCTCACACGCTTCAGGGGGTGCGCCCCATCCACCCCCCCTCCCGCGACAAAAACAATATCATCTCACGACGGGAAGCGGCTTGAATCATCATGTTTTTACCCCTCCCCCTCGCACCCGCCATCTAAGTCTATGACCGCACCCCCTCTGGGAAGGTTCACCTTTTCCATTCCAGCTCTGGGGTAAACCCCGACGTACAACAAAAAACGAGCCCGTCGCGCGGGCTCGACCACGCGGGCGGACCCTGACGGGCAGGCCGGACGGGCTGGCTCTAATGAGCTCGTCGGGCGGGCGGGCCTCTGCTCTGCTCTACTCGAGCCTACGCTACTCGTGCTCGACTCTACTCCGCCCTACTCCCACTCCATTCTATTATAGGATTGTCTACTCTACTCTACTCTACCCTACTCTACTCCACTCTGGTCTACTCGACTCTAGTATAATATGCTCTTCTCTGTTCATATACCCTTCTATAGATACTCTCTCTCTACTCTGCTCTACTCTACTCTAATCTACTTTAGTCTACGTTACTCTAATATATTTCCGAGCTTGACGATTAATGGACGATTGTTGGGAAGCCCTTTGAATAGCCACAAGAAGTCACGGGAATAGCAGCGGAAGCCATGCTGATACAGAGATACCTGTGCGGCTAGCAGAAGAAACCATGCCGATACAGAGGAAGTCATGCGCATAGTTCTGACGATTGTGGAACGATTGTTGGGACGCTACTGGAACAGCCACAGGAAGCCATCGGAATAGCAGGGGAGCCCATGCGGATACGGCGGAACCCATGCGGATAGCAGAGGAAGGCATGCGGATACGGAGGAAGCCATGCGGATACGGCGACCGCGCAAGGACAAAATAGAAGGGAGGGGTACACAGGACCAGTCCTCGATGCCATTGAGCAAGCCGAGCTGGAGAAAAACGGCCCTGGCCCGGCCCACCCTGGGCCTCGGATCGGCGTGTGCTCCGATCCTGGGCCCAGTATAGGCCTGGCCTTAAGTCGGGCCTGTCCTCCTACAGGGGGATTTTCAACGAAAAATAGAAAATACCGTAAAAGTATTCGAACATTTGCAAAAAATGCTGAAAAATCGTCCCCAAACTATTTTTTGATTATCTTTGAATCTTCCTCCTGTAGAGGGACATGCCCGACTTAAGCCTGGCCAGGATCGGTGCACGGAGGTGTACACGGTCGGGAGCTCCTGCTCGGCGTGTCGCGGCGGCGGCCCTGGCGACACGCTGTGCCCTGCCAGCGGATGGCGTGTCGCTCCGCTCCGCGGGGCGGGGGGATGGGAGAGGCTCAGGACGCTGCTGTCTGGGGACTGGGACGCGGTTCGCGTGTCGCGCCGAAGCGTCGCGGGCTGGAACCGGCGGCGCGACACTCTACAGCAGGGGCCCGACCACAAGAAACCTTCCACAAGAAACCCAACCCTGAGACCCCAGGACGTCCATCGATTTCTGGTGTGGGAGCCTCTCGCTTTCCATCGCAAAACCATGGAAGCCCAAGAAACACAGGGCACCCTGGAGGCAAGCGGAGTGCTTCTCGACGTGGGCCCCCACAGCAATAGCGGACGCTGCTGGCCGGTACTGCGGCGCCTCCGAAGGCGTAGACAGGAAGAGGACGAGCGGGGGTTGGTAATAGAGGAAAGAGAACTATGCACATACACCGATTCTGGCCAGGCCCATCCTGAGCCCAGGATGGGTGCATACGCCCTCTTACCTTGGCCAGGAAGATATATGCACCGATCCTGGGTCCAGGATGGACGTTGTCAGGATCGGTGCATGTACATAGTTCTCTTCGCCCGAGGTAAGGCTTCGGGCTGCGCACCGACAGCCCCCCCAGGTGGCCCAGGCCAGCCTCCGCGGGCACTGCGAGCAGCCCGGGGCGGTCTCTCGGCACCTCAACCCCGGTACGCGGAGCGCCCCGACATAGGGCGCCGTCGGAGGTCGAAAGCCGCGGCTGTTCGGGCCGGCCCGGGCTGCTCGGGGAGCCGGTTTTCAGGCCAGCTGGGACTCCCCAGGGCGCCTGTTTCGGTGACGCGCAAGAGTGGCCCTGGGCTTGTCTTGCGGCCCGATCCCGAAAGCAAGTTCGAGCACCCAGGAAAAGGATCGACACGGTGTCGCGAAAGAGCACCGCCTCCCGGAGCCCAACACGCGAAAGCCCTCTGCTTGTGGTACAGTCCTGGTGCTCGAAATTCTTTCTTGCGATCCAGGGTTAGAGAAGGTCGGAACATCATAACCCTAGGCAAGAGTGACCTTTGGTCCAAGCCCAAGCGGGGGAGCCACGCCCAAGCGAGCAAGCCGATGCTGCCGCATCGTGCTCAGCGATGAGGGGGGGGCCCCAGTGGGCCCGCACGAACGGCCACTCCGCCTAGGGGTAACCCTTACGTGCAGCCGACTGCTGTGGCCAGCCGGGACCACCTGAGGCCCTCGGGAGGGCGGGCGGGCTGCCCGCGCGCCACCCGAAGAGCCTCACCAGGCGAGGGCGCGCGCACGCCGAGTGCGGCGGGAAGCGGCCAGGCGAGCCGCCCTCTGCGCGCCGCGCCTGCAGGGGCAGCGCGCCCCGGCTTCGCCGGCGGGCAAGCGCGCCGGCGGCCTCCCCCGAGGGGGGGCCTCTTGCCCTACGAGCGCAGCCGCGGGCGCTCGCAGGAGAGCGGACAGCTGGCACCCAGAGGTCGCCCGGCTTCGCGCACCGCGCCCCGCGACCGGGGAGAGACCAAAAGGCACCGACACCGCCGCTCCCCAGGCCTCGCCCGGAGTGCGCTCTGGCCAGAATCGCGAGGCGAATGCAGCGGCGGTGCCAAGGGCCTCCCAGGAGGGTCCACGACAGGGGAACCGCGAGGAGGGCTAGCGGAATCGGTGCCTGTCGCTCTTCTGAGTGGTGCGAGACGAGCAGCTATCTTTAGGTCGGGCATGTCCCTCTACAGGCGGATTTGGACGAAAAAGGAACAAAACTACAAAAATAATTGAAAATAACCACAAATACTCAAAAAAACGTCCCCGTACTATTTTTTGAAACTAAGTTTGATTAATCCTCCTGTAGAGGGACAGGCCCGACTTCAAACCATCTTTGCCCCCGTCGGCCCTCGGGCCGCCCCTGGCCAAGAGGGGGCAGCAGATCTGGCCCGAGAGCCGCGAAAACTCGCGCGGAGGCGGGGGGGGCCCCAGGCCCTGGTCCAAGAAGCCCGCACAGACCTCCCCAGAGTCGGGGGCGCGCAAACATGGACTAGCGCAGACATGGAATAGCGATCCCTCCCCCCTCCTCCTCCTCCTCCTCCTCCTCCTCCTCCTCCTCCTCCTCCTCCTCCTCCTCCTCCTCCTCCTCCTCCTCCTCCTCCTCCTCCTCCTCCTCCTCCTCCTCCTCCTCCTCCTCCTCCCCCTCCCCAAAATGCGGCTGGTGCCGCCTCGCTCGGCGGCGGGAGTCCACGATCTCCCATGGAGACGGGACCCGTCGCTAGTCCACGCCCTCTTGATCCATGCTTGCGATCGCCCGAGACAGGGCACGCCCCTGCTCCGCGGTCTGCTCTCCTGCGCTTGCTGTCCCCCGCGCGGCGAGACACCTGGATGCGCCGCTTCGCCCCCGCGCCAGAGCTCTCGTGGTGAAGGCCGTGCGCCTCCGCTTCCCTGTGGACCAGCTTCCTCTCCTGGGCAGGCCAAGAGATGCCGATGGCGTTGCTCGCCATACAGCGAAGGCCAGTGCACAAGAGACCTTCCACAGGAAACCCAACTCTGAGACCCCAGGACGTCCTTTGGTTTTTGGTGTGGGAGCGCCACGCTCTCCATAGCAGAACCATCGAAAGTCAAGAAACCCAGGGCACCCTGGAGGCAAGCAGGGTGTTTCTTGGTATGGGTCTCCAATGTACACCTCAAGATTGAAACCTACCATGCAAAGGGAGCAACTGCTGGTGCTACAAGGGGCGACTTGCAATTCGACAGGCAGACGCGCTATCACAACATACGAAGACAACACTTCCGAGCACAAGCATTACTGCCAGGATACATTCTGACCAGAGTTTGGGGGCGGATCCAGCCGTGGCGACGAGGCACTTCCAAGAGGCCGCAAAGTGAAAAAACGAGGCGAGGGTAGCAGGAACAGTAATAGGGAAACGAAGAATGGCAGAAGCATAAAAACTCGGCGGTCCGCGCGGATTTCTCGGATCGGCGCTGCAGCCCCCTCCCTGGCGCGCGGCGCCGCCGGGGGGGCTCCAGCGCCGGTCCGAGAAGTCCGCGCGGACCTCCGAGTTTTTATGCTTCTGTCATTCTTCGTTCCCCAAAAGGATGCCTTTTCTCCCCTGGTCTCCAGGTTGCTCAGCGTGGGCGGGAACCGCAGCGCCGCGTCGTCGCCCGCGGCGAAGCGTCGGACGCTCTCCACGAGCTCGGCCCTCTTCCCGGGCGGGATGTGGTCGCAGAGCTGCTGGCAGACGGCGTCATCGTCCCCGTGGACGTCCCTTCCGCCGCCGAGGGCAAGGTTCGCTTCCCGCACGAGGTCCGGGCGTTGACAGGAGCGCCCCCCAGACCTCCAACGCATTGAAAAAATCAAGACGGAGGTTTTTTCTCGAGTTTCGGCATCTAGCGGCCCTCGCCGGGCCCCGGGACCCTCAAAAAACGACTCGGCATGAAAAACCGGTCCTGGGGAATGGGTCGAGGCTTCCGGGGACCCCGCCTTGACAAAATCACGACAACGGATCTCTGGGCCCAGGCCCAAGATCTCCCAGAGCTGCCCTGAGACCCCGGCGACGCACTTCTCCACACAGAGCGGAGCTTCCGCCGGAAAAATTCAACATACTAGACTATACCGAGAGAAAGCCCTGGGGTTTGGCGAGAGTCCTAGTCATGAGTTTGGTATACAAAGTGCCCTCCCTGGGGCCCGGTTCTTGTATATTAGACGTGGCCCCAGGTGGTGGAAGAATCTGCTTGACGCGGGAAGGATGTGGTAGACAAACGAATATCGCGGAACACTGCTTCGTTTCAGGCCCTTGGACCATCACAGATCCATCCGCATCGAAACGGGGAGACGTAAGGCTCGGGTTCGGGGGCCCCGGGTTGGCCTGACAGAGCCATCAGGAAAATGACGAGACCCAGTCTGAAATTTGACGCGAGCTTCCGCTGCAAACATCCTACGAAAGCTGGACCGTCACAAAGCAGGACGCGCCTCGTCAAAAAGCGCCGGCCAACCCGAGTTCTGGCTCACTCGAGGCTGACGTTCCCCCGATCGAAACGTACCGCAGAGAGGTGGGGTCAGGGGCTCCGGCCGTGATTCTCCGCGGTGTCGTGTTCCTGCTCGTGCTGCTGCGCCGCAGGGTTCCCGGGATCGGCCCCAGCGGCCTCGGCGCCCCGCACGAGGCCCCGACGCGGGGGCGCGCGAGGACCCCCGACGACCCAGCGGCCCCTGAGGTCCGACGCCGCGGGAAGCACTGCAGTGCAGGACCCGGGAGGAGGCACGACCGGAGCCCTATGGCCCCATGCGTCGGCGGCGAGCCAGGGGGGGGGAAGCGAGAAGGGGCAGGCCGTCTCCGAAGGCTCGGAGGTGCCCTCCCCCCCCCTCGCTCGGCGCCGAATGCTCCTGTGGCGTTTCTCGAACCAGATCGGTCCGCGCGGGTCCCGGGGCCCGAGTCCGGACGAAGCCACGCGGTTCAAGAAAACTACGACGCCAGGACCTCGTACCCAGATCACCTCGCGCTATGACAAAATCAAGGCGGGGAGTGATCCGCTATTTTCGGCCTCTGGGAGCCCTCGCCGGCCCTCGGGACCGCAAAAACGACTCAGGCCCAAAAACCTCTCCCAGGGAAGGTGTCCAGACCGCTGGGGGGCCGCGTCATGAAAAAGTTATGACGTCGGGGGTCTGGGTATGGGGCTGGGGGACACCCCGGGCCAGGAGGGGGGGGCACTCTTGCCAGCGCCCAGGAAGTCCTGGTAGGCGTCGGCAGCCTCCTGGGAGGCCTCCCGAAGTAAGGTCCTGGCAGCTGGGGTCGGGGGATCGTGCCGCACCGCCACTGCCTCGGCGATGCATCGGCGCGTCGGCGTGGAGCCAGCTCGGGAGGGAGGACGAGGATGCACGACACGGTGCCGTTGGGGGGGGGGCCGTCGGCGTGCGACTCCTCCGTTTGGGTCCGAAGACCCGGTGCGTCTCCTTGGGCAGTGGCACGCCAGGCGCTCCTCACGGCGGCGCGTCGCCGGTGCTGCCTTCGCTCCCCCGACAATCCCGTTGCACACATCGAGCCGCACCGCCGATGCATCCGCGAGGTGCGGCCACGCCCGGCGCCATCACCCGACCCCACCTTCCCAGACCCCCGACGTCATGAGTTTTGCCTTAGGTCGGGCCTGTCCCCCTAGAGGGGGATTTTCGACGGAAAATAAAATATATTCAAAAAATGCTCAAAAGATGCCCAGACATACTCAAAAAATAGTCCCCAGACTATTTTTTGGTATGTTTGAATATTCCCCCTGCAGAGAGACATGCCCGACTTACGTTTTGCACGACGCGGACCCCCAGCGGTCTGGACCCCTCCCAGGGACCGGTTGCTCGTCCCGGGTCGTTCTTGGACGGCCCCCAGGGGCCGGCGAGGGCCCCCCGAGGCCGAAGATAGCGACAAAAAAGCTCCCCGCCGAGGCTTTTTTCATACCGCGAGGGGGTCTGGGTTCGGAGCAGGGCGAGTTGAGACCAAAGGCAGTTCCAGATCGATCCCCGGACCTCTCCCGGTCTCCGGACGCGCACACGCTGTCCGCCGAGCTGCCCCCGGCCGTGGACCCCCGAGGGGGGCCCCCCGCGAAGGCACCCGCGGGGGGCCCAACCAGCCGTCGTCTGAACTCGCCCTTCACGGGGCCCACACATGCACACCACCACCACCTCCCTCACCCCTTCCCCGCCCCCCCCCCCCCAGGAAAGAGGAGAGGAAGAGGAGGGCAGAGGAGGGAGGAGGAATCGACGTGGTGGTGGTGGTGGCGGTGGTGGTGGTGGTGGTGGTGGTGTGGTGGTGGTGGTGGTGGTGGGTGGTGGTGGTGGTGGCGGTGGTGCATTCTTGGGGCCCGCACCCTCCGTCCTCTGGCATCTGCCACGAGCTCATTTGGAAACACCCGGGCTCCTCTCTGCCGAGCCCTCGGGCCTGGGGAAGCCAGAAGAGACCCTCAGTTGGCGGCGCGCACAAGGGGGTGGGGGGAGGGGGGGGGGCTTCTTAGAAGCACCCCTGGTTCTTAGAAGGCAGCGGTCTTACATCTATAGATAAGGCCCGCGCCTTCTAAGAAGCAGGGGTGCTTCTAAGAAGCCTCCCCCCTCCCCCCACCCCCCTCTGCGAGTGGCTGACTCAGGGCCCCGTGCACACAGACACGCCAGACCAGGACATGCAACATCCCTCGAAACAACCGCTCCCAGAATGAGGCACGAGAAAGAACTGCACTGCAACACCCCCAGAATGAACCCAAACACAGGCAATAAAAGCCTGCGCACCCCCCCATAGACATGGGCAAGGACCCGAATCTTACAGTGCAGCAAGAAAGCTGCACTGGACGACCAAACCTGACTTTGCAGGAAATGGTGTCGTTTCCCCGACTTGCCGATGTCCTAGTGAGTCAGGGTCCTGGTATCTGGGGGCCTGAGACTCGATGTACTGCTACTCCCCGGACCTCTCCCAGTGCGCGCTCCGGCCAGCATCTCGAGGCGGATCCAGAGATGGCAACGAGGGCCTCCCACTATCGGCGACGAGCGGGGGGGGGAATGAGGAAGAGAACGCCTTCTCTGGAGGCGGCGGGACTTCTCAGAAGCCCCTCGCGCCTTCTGTGAAATTTCCCGTGTCTTCGGGGCCTTCTGAGCCTTCTGAGAAGGCCCGCCCCTTCTCACTTCCCCGCCTCGCTCGCCGCCGACACTAGGCTCAACAAAGCTGAAAACAAGGAAAGGGCAGAGGTATCGATACCTTCCCCTCGAGGAAGAAATAGCATAACCATAAACCTTCGCAGGTCCGCGCTGATTTCTTGGATCGGCGCTGGATCCCCCTCCCTGGCGCGCGAAGCGCGCCAGGGGCGACGCCGGCGGCGCCGCCAGGGGGCTCCAGCGCCGATCCAAGAAATCAGCGCGGACCGTCGAAAGTTGCTTCCCCAAAGAATGATTGCACTGAGCTCCCCTTGCTCCATTCCTAAGGAACTGAAAGGGGTCGTCGCTCGGGGGCACTTGTTGTCGCCTGTCGCCGTCCGTCGCCGCCGTCCGCCGCCGCTGCTACTGGGACTGGTTGTCGGTCGCCGCGCCTGCTGTCGCCCGTCGCCGCAAGTAGCCGCCGTCCGTCGCCACACCACACTATCGCACCACATCGAGTGCACAACATAGATTGCGCCACATAGATTGCACAAACTAGCTTACACCAAATAAGATGCACCACATGTACTGCATCACATACCTTACACAAGTACAGTCTACGCCCGATAGTTTACACAACATATGGATTGCACCACATAGCATACACCGCATGGATCTTGCATAGATCGCACCACACAGCTTACACCACCGATATTGCACCACAAAAAACTACATCACACAGCTCACACCACATAGGTTGCACTGCAGATATTGCACCACGATAGCTGGCACAAAGTAAATTGCACTGCGTGTGTATATATATATATATATGAATATATACAGCACACATTAGTTTCCGTCAAACAGATTGTACCACATAGAGACTGCGCCACGTATTGTACTCATAGCCTGCACCACGTAAGTCACACCACATGTTTTGCACCACATAGCTTACAACACACAGTTTGCACCACACAGGTTGCACCACATAGGTAGCACCACGCAGAGTGCACAACATAGATCGCACCACGTAGGTTGCTAGAAACACATTGTTTTGGGCCCACACTTGGTAACACTTGCATTCCCGAGACAGCGTTTGCACTTAGAGGCTCTTACTCCTGGAATGAGCAACTGGGCGTCAAGGTCGGTCTGGCTGCTATGTAGTCGCCGCCGCGGCCCCTTCGCCGCCTCGTCGCCGCCTGTTGTCTGGGCTTGGGGGTCGGTCTGGCAGCTGTGTCGTCGCCGTCGCCGCCTCGTCGCCGCGTCGTCGCCGCCCCGTCGCCGCCTGTCGTCTAGGCCTGGGGGTCGGTTTGGCGGCTCTGTAATCGCCGTCGCCGCCCAGTCGACACCTCGTCGCTGCCTCGTCGCTGCCCGACGTCTTGGACTGGGGGTCGGTCTGGCGGCTGCGTCGTCGCCGAAGCCGCCCCGTCGCCGCCTCAGCGCCGCCTCGTCGCCGCCCGTCGTGTGGGTTTGAGGGTCGGTCTGGCGGCTATGTAGTCGCCGTCGTTGCCCGGTCGCCGCCTCGGCGCCGCCTGTTGTCTGGGCTTGGGGGTCGGTCTGGCGGCTGTGTCGTCGCCGTCGCCGCCTCGTCGCCGCCTCGGCGCCGCCTCGTCGCTGCCCGACGTCTTGGACTGGGGGCCGGTCTGGCGGCTGCGTCGTCGCCGAAGCCGCCCCGTCGCCGCCTCGGCGCCGCCTTGTCGCCGCCCGTCGTCTGGGCTCGGGGGTCGGTTTGGCGGCTATGTTGTCGCCGTCGCCGGCCCGTCCCGTCGCCGCCGCCCCGTTGCACAACACAGGTTGCAACACGTCGATTCTCCTGCCTAAGACAAGAATAGAGTCGACCCCCCACCCCCGGAGTTAACGGGTCACCTTTTCGTATTGCAATTTACACATGATTCTGCCCCATCGTCCATCCGACCTGTGAATTCATATTATCCCAGCCAGGCCGGTATCCCCCCCCCCCCCCCGCCATCCTCTGCAA